GCAAAGTGTGGCAGGTGTGTCAAATTCTTTCAGTCTAACTTTCTGAATAAACTGAAAAATCACTGTCTGTGTTTTATAAACATCCTTATTTTTGAGATGAGATGAGTAAACATGTAGCTTTTATATATAAGTCAGCAGGTGTATGTTTCTCACCAAGTTCTGCTGACGGCGTTTTATAACTCTGTCAGTGTGGATGTAAAGCTTTACGCTGATGAAACTGTTGTTTACACACATACACAAACTGCAGAGCTGCTGTGAAGCTACAACTGCTATAAAATAATCCCACAGCGGCTCCATCAGTCAGGCTGAAGTCTGAATGTTGGCAACATGATGGCTGTGTTTTTGTCTTCTAAACCAATAAAATGTAGCTTCACTTTGTATTTTTTTAATTTTGCTGTTGTGTTGAAGCGAGACAGTGAATACTGAGCGCTGAAGTCAAACTTAACTTCCTAGAATGATTCTTTAGCCAGAGTCGACAGTTGTAACTGTCATTGTGTTATTGATGTGAAAAAGTGTAGCTAGCGGTGAGGAGCCTGCAAAGGAGAAACCCACACCGCCCGTCTGCTGCAGGAAGTAGGTGTTGATTTGCTGTCAACAGTCCTAATAACCACTGAGAACAGATTCATATCTGCTGCTGTACACACTCATCAACTCCTCTACCCCTCTGAAGCTGTTTGTTTTCTCTCAGGAAACCTTTTTTCCACTGAGCCCTCCACCCACACAGAGATGAACTGAGCCCAAAGACCAACAACGTTGACCATACTCGATAAATATCAGAACAACTCAATCTGACAGTGTTTTTATTAACTCGTTTTTTCCTCTATTTAATATGATTTCATATTTAGAGCTATGGCCTCACAGCAAGAAGGTCGTGGGTTCAAACCCCGGTTGCCCCAGCATTTCTGTGTGGAGTTTGCATGTTGTCTGCGTGGGTGCTTTCTGGGTGCTCCAGCGTCCTCCCACCGACCTAAAACATGTGGCCTAGGTTGATTGGTGACTCTAAATTGTGTGAGTGTGACTGGTTGTTTGTCTATGTGTGGCCACATGATTGGCAACCTGTCCAGGGTGTACGCCGTCTTTCGCCTGATCTCAGCTGGGATTGCCTCCAGCCTCCCGCGACCCTGTACGCAGGATAAGCTTTGACGAAGGATGCATGGCACTGCATTTTTCAGAAAATATTCAGTATAAATGAAGAACAATGCAATATTAGAAAAGAGACGGCCTTAAATATTTTGCAATGTTAATCTTGTTTTAAAATGTCTCAAGAAAACAACAATATAATTTTAGGTGAGTTTTTAAAGGTAAAAAAAAATATATGATCCACTTTTAATAGCCACCACAATCAAGTGATATAAAGCCATTGAAAAGAAAAGTTAAACATAGTCCAAAGTTAAATGTTACTTAAGTTAATAAAACTGTGCGTTAATTCAAAGATTAAGACAAACAGAAAAAATTATAAAAAATTAAAGGAACAGCTGCTATTTATACTACGATTTAAAAAACTGAACTTCATGTATAAAACAAATTTTGCAAGAAAACAGTCAATGAAATAAAAGCAAATCCACCATTTGTATAACAAATCTGTAACCTGAAGACAATCAACGTAAATATTCAGTATTATGTATAAAATAAGCATTATATTAGAATACCACTGACCGTTGTTGTTGGACTTCTTAGTGAGCTTCTGATCAAACGTAGATTTTTAATGAATTTATCCTGAGATAACACTTTTCATAATATTATTGGTATCATCAACATTTCTTTTCTCTAGATAATGAAATAATTAAGATGTTATCAACAAGAAATGGATTGAAGGATGATGTTGGAGTTATGGTCTTAGTTTTCTATTTTTTTTTCAACAAAATGACTGATTGTTTCTGCTAACCAGTCCACTGTGTGTAACAAGTATTGTTTACACCACTGAAAACAAACTATACTAAACCAGGTTCGTCATAATGAAGGAATGTGTCACTCAAATGCAAAACGTCTTTTTTAAATGTTATTGGTCAACAATAGACATTTATGTGAAGTTCAGGCTTTGGCCATGCAGACAGGACTTGTTAGTCGAATTGATTCATTGTTTGTTTTTGAAGAGGTAGATAAGATTCTTAACTTCAGGGACCAGCTCTGGACTTTATCTTCAGGCTTTAGCAGCCATGAGAAGTTAAATCTGCTGGGGGACAGTCAGTCAGTCTTTTGTGTGATGACAGTGGACGGTCCCTTGTTTCTGAGGATCCTCAGCAGTGCACCAGGCTCTTCACTATCAGCACTGTGTACATCAGACAGAGCAGCCTCTCTCTGCGCAAGGACTGGACGGGCGCGGCTAGTGGAGGTGATGGTGGAAGTGATGGTGGTGCAGAAACAATCTTATATTATATTAATAATATTTAATATTATAAAAATATATTTACCACCATATAACATTTACAATATCTTTACTATAAATCAAAATATATTAAAATCATATACCACACAAATAGACAACATGTAAGAAACAAATTACATATATTCATTATGAAATACTGGATATTTGTAACATTGATTCTGCTTTTGAATTTGAATGTTCAGATTAATCGTGCACGTCTCTTAAATTTACTTTGATTTACTGGAGATTTAATAAGCCAACTGGCAGAAAAATCCTCCACAGTCATTCATCTAGAATTTCCCACTGTAAAGTTTGTTTAAACAGCAGCTGATGAGAACACAGAGCAGAATTACAACACCAATGAATGTGATGGATTTCTAACTAAGGTTCATCATTTGGTGAATTTCTGTTTGCTGTTGATGCTGACATTAACCACCACAGAAAAACACCACCACCCTGTGTTCAGTCAGATGAAGTTCACAGGTCTGGAGGAAGAGAGGAGAGGCACAGAATCCACGTTGCTTGAAGTCCAGTGTAAAGTTTCCACAGTCAGTGATGGTTTGGGGTGCCATGTCATCTGCTGGTGTTGGTCCACTGTGTTTTCTGAGGTCCAAGGTCAACGCAGCCGTCTACCAGGAAGTTTTAGAGCACTTCATGCTTCCTGATGCTGACCAACTTTATGGAGATTTTCCAACAGGACTTGGCACCTGCACACAGTGCCAAAGCTACCAGCACCTGGTTTAAGGACCATGGTATCCCTGTTCTTAATTGGCCAGCAAACTGGCCTGACCTTAACCCTATAGAAAATCTATGGGGTATTGTGAAGAGGAAGATGCGATACGCCTGTGTGAAATGAATGAATATAATATCCAAGTTTCACTTTTTGAATGGAATTACTGAAATAAATCAACTTTTTGATGATATTCTAATTATATGACCAGCACCTGTAGCTTTAATGAAGAGACTGAACAACAGAACACTAAATAAAGATGTGATGCTGTGTGTGGAAAAGGTTTCATGTGTCGTAGAAATGAAATGATGAAATGTTAGGGGACGTTTAAGGGTTAAAATCATCCCAGCTGTTAAACAACAGATAACAGTCTGTGTTACTAAATTCAGCACCAACCTGAATGTGTTTGTGGTAACAGGAATGTTTGTTTGTATTTCTGCATCATCGTGAGCCAGATTTTTTATCTGCTGTCAGATTCAAATCAAGACGAAGAAACTTCTCAGTGAATCAGTTTAGAGAAACAGAGAAGTCTGGGAAACAAGAAGCATTTAGAAACAACGTTAAAATAATGAGAAGAACAGAAAGATAAATAGTGTCAGTAAGAAATGAATCTGCTGGCTGACAGTAACCTTCATCTTCTTTTTCAACAACAGACATTTGAAGATTGAACACAAACAGGATTTTGGAGAATGAAGGTCTCAGTGTGACGAACCACACAATGAAAACAAGAAGCTGGTTCCACTTTTTATACTGGAGAGATACAGTATTTTACAAAATGACACTTTGCTTCAATGTAAAGTAGTGAGTGTACAGTTTGTATAACAGTGTAAATTTGCTGTCCACTCAAAATAACACATCACACAGCCATTAATGTCTAAACCGCTGGCAACAAAAGTGAGTGCACCCCTAAGTGAAAATTTCCAAATTGGGCCCAATTAGCCATTTTCCCTACCCGGTATCATGTGACTCGTTAGTGTTACAAGGTCTCAGGGGTGAATATGGAGCAGGTGTGTTAAATTTGGTGTTATCGCTGTCACACTCCCTCAAACTGGTCACTGGAAGTTAAACATGGCACCTCATGGCAAAGAACTCTCTGAGGGTCTGAAAAAAGTATATTTTATTAATTTCTATACGTAAAGATGGCCTAGGCTATAAGAAGATCTCCAAGACCCTGAAACTGACCATACAGCGGTTCAACAAGACAGGTTCCACTCAGAACAGGTTCCACTCAGAACATGCTTCGCCACGTCGACCAAGAAGTTGAGTGTACATGCTCAGACAGCATGATCCCCTCCATTCGTAGACTGGGCCACAGGGCAGTATTCCAACATGATAACGACCCCAAACACACTTCCAAGACACCACTGCCTAGCTAGAGAATCTGATGGTAAAGCTGATGGACTGGCCAAGCATGTCTCCAGACCTGAACCCTATTGAGCATGTGTGGGGCATCCTCAAACGGGAGGTGGAGGAGCACAAGGTCTCTAACATCCACCAGTTCCGTGATGTCATCATGTCACATGGTGAACTTCATGTCAAAGAGGGTTAAGACAGTCCTGGAAAACAACGTCCACATAAAATTCTGACACTATGGGCCAATTTGGACATTTTCGCTTAGAGGTTTACTGATTTTTGTTTCCAGTGGTTTAGACATTAAAGGCTGTGTGATGTGTTATTTTTAGGGGACAGCAAATTTACACTGTTATACAAGCTGCACACTCACTACTTTACATTGTAGCAAAGCGTCATTTCTTCAGTGTTGTCACATGAAAAGATATAATCAAATATTTACAAGCAATTGAGGGTTGTACTCACTTTTCTACTGTAATACTACATGCTCCTGCCTTATGTACCTGTTGTGATTTGAAATAGTTCAATAGAGGAGATGTACTGTAATAAAGCAGAATGAGCTCCGACTCAGCAGAAAACCACACAGCAGCTTCAGCTGAGCTGTCAATCAGCAGCAGCAGCCTTATCTGTCCGCCGCAGGGGCTGATGGGAGGTCTGAGGACCCGTTAGAAACCACGCGGCCCTCGTCTGATCTCACAGCTCGTCCTTGTTTGGCCTCTGCTGCATCAGAGCGCCACTTCTCCCCAGGTTCACCAGAGGAAACACCACTGCACACAATGCTTTTCCTCCCAGCTGCTGCTCTGTGCTGTCTGTGTTCAGGTGAGTGTTTCCAGCCAATCAGGAGCCAGCAAACTCCACCTGGAACAAACACTGTCACACTGACCTTCATCTATCTGTCTGTGTCTCTACAGCGCTGGTTGCCATGGCAGCAGAGCTGATTCAGGAGGATTTAACATTGACCAGGAGAGTTGATGAAACTGTTTCCTTCAGCTGTCGAGGAACTAACCAGTGTACTGACAGTGATGTATACTGGTACCAGAAGAAAGACACAGACACATTCACAAGGATCCTTTATATTCAGAGGAGTGATGGTTATGTATACTCAGGTTACGATCATCCTCAGAAAGATGATTTCTCAGCTGTGAATAAACAGAACGGCTGTGAGCTGAAGATCCAGAAAGTTAAACTCTCTCATTCAGCCATCTACTACTGCGCCTGTTGGAAGGATGGTGGCCACAGTGAGAAATGATCCGTGCAGCCTGTACAAAAACCTTCAGATGTCAAACAGTGTTTGTGACAGGAAGAGAGCAGTAAACCACAGCCCAGGTTCACATATTTCACCTCCATCTCAGCCAGAGTCACAAACATACTGAGCTGAGGGATTTCTTTAATATTCTATTGATTTCTATTTGATCAGATATTCCAGCAGGTTTCTTGTTGTTCCACACAGTGAGGACAAACTAGCAGCACAGAAGCACAATGAGCAAACAAGACAAAGATGAAACAATAAAAGTGCAACCGTTACAGACAGAAATCATATGTTGTTGTCATCAACAACTTACCTGTGTGCTTTATCAAAACCAGGTGTTATCTAAAATGTGGAATGACTTCAGTATAATTTCACTTTGAAGAAAAAGTGCACATTGTTTCATTCGTCCCCACTGTGTGGGACGGATGAAACACAGGGGTGGGACAGAAGAAACAAAATGATATACATTTAAATAGTTTGTTATTCTTGTATTTATTTAGATAGCTTGACACTGCCCTTCTCAATATGTAATTGCAAACTCAATATGTACTTTTTCTTAATAAAAAAATAGTATAAATATAGCTAACTAGAATATTCAACAGCTAATTCGCATTTGGATTAGATATTGGCTGACCTTTTTCTGCACATCTGCAGCCTTTTTTCCTCGTCTACTGTAAAGACAATGTTATTTGGCTGTGAGCATCCTGGTGGTCCAGCCTACAGCTGCCACATCATGGCTTAAAATAAATTTGGCGCGATGTCTGACTTATTTGCCGACCCCTGCTGTACATTCTGATTAAATGATATTTCAGTTTTCAGTCTGACAGCTGGTTGTTAAAGGAAGGACGCTGGTGACCACGGAGGAGCTGAGCCTAGTAAAGTAAATTAGGGATGTAAACTAGTCCTTTCAAGCAATTGAGGAGATGTTTCTTTTGGATTTTAATGCACATATTAAATGCTTAGTAATAATACAGAAATCACATAGAAAAAAAGATGCATCAAGATGGATCGCTCTCTGAATTCTAATCAAATGGTGAGGTGCCAAAAGATTCTCATCCCTACTGCCCAACCAGTATTCCCATTCAATTACTTTAAAACGTTATTTAAAATGTTTTGTGGAGCGGGTTGCCACAATGTCTCCAGTTGTCCACTGCATCTGTTAGGGCCTGTCCATAGGCTCGCCATTCATCTGTGACAACATCTGGGCCTCTTCTTACATGATGTTATATTGGTCAGCAACAGGTCTTGAGCCATCTCTCACCACCCTGAGAATGAGTTTCCTTGATTTAGCCTAACTAATTTGTGTTTTTTGCTAAATTGCAAAGTGTTCCAAAATTCATAAAGATTGTTCATAAAGTGAAGAAACATAAGTAAAGTTTTTTTTCCTGCTTTAAGTCACTTTACTTAAAAACAAACAAATACGTGTTATAAGGTCTTATAATTTGTTCATGTGGTATTTGTTACGGTTAGCGGTGGTGTGGTGGCAGGTTGGAGGACCCAAACGCAGGACGCAAGGCAGAGGAGGAACAGTTGAATGGAGTTTAATACAAACTAAAGGCGAGCACACTTACAAGCAGAGTGGCTGATCAACAGAGTCCAAAAACAGGTTATCCAAACAGAAATCCAAAAGTACGGGGTGACAAGACAAGCAAGGCTGGTTACAGGAAGGCAGCGAGTATACACACGACAGACTGGGGGGTAACATGAACAATGACCGGACAAGGGCTGAACAGAAAGACCACATATATAACCAGGGATAACGAGCAGGGCGGGAGCAACACAGGTGGCAGACATGAGGCTAACGAGGGAGGCAGAGAGACAGCAGGAAAACAGAGAGGCAGGCAGGCAGAGACAACAGAGAGAGCACTTTAGACAAGCAGACATGGGGCAGAGTGAATAACCAAGAATGCGACAGAGCTAAACAGAACCAGTAAAAGAACAAGGGAATACACAAGACTAAACAGGGAACACAAGACCAGGAGTAAACACAAAAGATATTAACTAACGTACAGGACTAGGAACTAACTGAACAAGACTACAGAAAAACATAGAACCAAAAACAGACTTAAACAGGAAAGACATACACAAATACCACACTCCTACCAGTATTATGTCCACCTATAAACAGGGATGGACATTTTAACACTTTACTTAAAAAAAGAAAAGATAAAAGTACAATACAAATGTATTACCAACAAGTTCAGCTTGAAAGGTCCGTTACAAACAACATGTTTTCTAATTTTAATCTAAAGGATTTTTTGGCCCCAGTTTCTGCCTGAATACAGACAATATAACATTAAACATTACTATAAGCTATTATTCCATTTTATATCACTAATTCTAAATTGTGACTAAAGTCTATTTATAACGAGGCAGAGTGGATGGTTATAATGTACTTTAGAACATGGTAGGAGAGTCTTGGTGTACAGTGGTAAAAAGTGATATTACTATTAGTTATAAAACATTAAACCAAAAGGTCATAATGACTTATGAACTTTGCTATAACACCTAATGCATGTTTGTAAGTGATTATAACAATTGTTATAATGTCTTATAGAAGCATTATATCATGTTGTAAACATGCATAAGTCATTATAGAGATGACCTTCATAGAAAGTAAGTCTCTAATCTTCTGGAAGTTTATTCTAGCTATTTGCTGCATAGTAGCTAAATGCTGCTTCTCCATGTTTTGTTATGACTCTGGGGACAGTTAACAGATTGATCTCTGATAACCAGAGGGGACTAGAGGGTTCATATTCTAAAAACATTTCAGTGATTTATAGGTGTGGTCAAATTTTCAGGTCTTTGTTAGAACTCTAGCAGCAGCATTCAGTACAAGCCATTACAAGTCTGACCTCCTAGTACTAAATGGATGAACAATTTGTGGTGTTTTTTGGACATAAGTCATAGTAGGTGATAGTAGGCTGACTTTATTACTGACTTAATGTGGCTGTTGAAATTTAGGTATATAAGAGTCCATAATAACACCAAGATTTCTAGCTTGGGTTTCATAGACAAGGTGTGAGATGTGAGATAAATTTCACCCTTCCTTCTTTGGCACCAAAGATAATTATCTCAGTTTTTTCTATAGGATGATAGTCATTTGATGATAGAGCTAAATGGATCTGAGTGTTGCCTGCATGACTATGGTAGGAGATATTGTTATTTTGCATGGTTTGGCCTAGCGGGAGCATGAAGAGGTTAAACAGAGGCAGCCCTAGAAATGAACCTTGTGGGACTCCACATGTCATGTTAGTTAGTTCAGATACATAGACGTATTGAGTGGTCAACAATGTTAAATGCTGCACTAAGATTGAATAACACCAGTACTGAAATTTTGCATGAGTCAGTGCTAAGACAAATATAATTTAGAGAGAACAGTTTACTATTTTTGCAGTATGTCTTTGGAGGCAGCAGGGAGATGGCTTAAGTTGTCTTACCATTTCCTCAAGAGTTTTGAAGTCTTTTCTCTTTAAAACAGAACATCATCATCATCATCATCATCATTAGAACATCAGTAGGGAAACATAACAGTTCAAGATGATCAATACTGATGGTTCATTAGTGCTCCTAGCTCATTATGGTTATTAAGCGACCTGAGGCTAAGTTTGAACAACCATCGTTGGCGTTATCAGCTGAGACTCCAAGTGATCGTTTGTTAAATTTCCTGGGAAGTGATGAAAGGACAGCATGATAAGTGGTGGTGCAGTAAGTAACCTCAAGAAAAGCAACAGAGTAGGATCTCTCTTCCAGAACATGCAAAAAATGTCATGTACTGTATCGGCCAAAATAGCAAAACAACATGTAAAATAAGGATGACTATACAGATAGAATCTAAACATATGCTGTGGTGTCACAATTAAAAATCCAAACCTACATGGCCCTGTGAGAAAAAGTGAGAGCCCCCTAAACGTAATAACTGGTTGGGCCACCCTTAGCAGCAACAACTGCAATCAAGTTTTTATGATAACTGGCTTTTACGTCGCTGTGGAGGAATTTTGGCCCACTCATCTTTGCAGAATTGTTGTAATTCAGCCACATTGGAGAGTTTTCGAGCCTTAACTGCTTTTTTAAGGTCATGCCACAACATCTCGACTAGATTCAGGTCAGGACTTTGACTAGGCCACTCCAAAGTCTTCATTTTGTTTTTCTCAAGCCATTCAGAGGTGGACTTGCTGGCATGTTTTGGCTCATTGTCCTGCTGCAGAACCCAAATAATTTTTTGTCTTGGAACTCCATTTTTCATATCATGAACACTGACCCTAACTGAGGCAAGTGAAGCAGTTCTTTGGATGTTGTTGTGTGTTTTTTCTGACATTGGATGAGTGGTTACTGTGCTCTTGGGGCAATTTTGGTAGGCCGGTCACTCCTGGTAAGGTTCACCACTGTTCCATGTTTTTACCATTTGTGGATAACGGCTCTCACTGTGGTTTGCTGGAGTCCCAAAACTTTGGAAATGGCTGTATAACCTTTTCCAGACTGATAAATCTCAGTTACTCTGTTTCTCATTTGTTCCTGAATTTCTTTAGATTGCAGAATGAAGTCTAGCTTTTGAGGATCTTTTGGTCTACTTCACTTTGTCAGGCAGGCCCTCTTTAAGTGATTTCTTGATTGAGAACAGGTGTGGCAGTAATCAGGCCTGGGTGCGGCTAAGGAAATTGATCTCAGCTTTCCAAAGATGTGATAAACCACAGTGGACTTATGTTTTAACATAGGCCATGTAGGTATGGATTTTTCCACGTAATAATAAAAACCTTTGTTTTTAAAACTGCATTTTGTGTTTGCTTTTGTTATCTTTGTCTGATATTTCAATTTGTTTGATGATCTGAAACATTTCAGTGTGAAAAACATGCAAAAAAGTAATAAATCAGAAAGGGGGCAAACACTTTTTCACATCACTGTATAAAGAATATCAATCAGGGAGGACATCGACAAAATTCAGGTGCAACCAAATACACAGTCACAATGTCATTATTTCTGCAGGTATTTGGTCATAAACAAAGTACTGAACAAATTATAAGTTTGACCTGATGGCGCTAGATGAAAAGTCAGAGGATCACCAAAGTTATTACCATTCATCCTGAGGGGAACATGAACGTCTGAACTGCATTTAATGGTAATCCATGTAAGAGTTGAGATATTATAGTCTGGACCAAAAACATCAACCTGCTTCTGATTCTAGAGTCAGAATCAACAAAGTGTTGAATTTCTGAACAACATTTCAGTCCATCCATCTTTAGGTTCAGGTCCAATCCATCCATCTACTAAAGTAGTGGACCAGCAGACAGCAGAATCCACAGAGCAACAATGCTTGAAAATAAAAAAAACACTCATGTTGATATGAACATTAAAGAAACAAATCATGCAGCTGGATTATGATCCTGGTTCATCATTTAGACTCTTTCACCTCAGCTGACACATTCAGCAGCAGACAGGTTTTTGTATTACTCTGTTTCACTGTGGGAGGATACACATACTCCTACTTGATCTTTGGCTCTGGAATTAAACTGTATGTAACAGGTAAGAATAATCATTAATGTTCCTTCTGTTGTTTTATTGAATAAGAATCAAAAATGGGTTTTTAATTTCTGCTGCTTCAGGCTCCACATGTTAGTTTGTTCATAATTAATAGAGCGTTCTTGCAGGCGTGCAGCTATTACATAAAAACATTCAGAATTCCTGAAAAGATGTTTAAATCTCACTGCACAACTTAAGTTATTCTTTATTTCTGCACCAGATAAAACTGATTCAGATAGAAAAAGGTATTGACAAAATTAGAAATATATTTAGTCCTCTCAGTGATTCAGCTCTATCCCTTGCTTTTTTAAACTGTGATATGAACATGATTTAATTCATGTCAGCAAATGTATTTTATACAGCATATAACTTTAAAATTTACTGCATGACATTTGTATTTATTGTATTTGTATTTTATATCATGGTACATGATTTTTATATATATATTCCTCTTTCCAACACGTTCTCATCAAATTGGTATTTGACAGACAAGGTACCCTTCAGCATCCACAGGAGACGCTTTTTAATATGTGGTATAGATGTAATTTGGTTAGCTGCCATCATAAAAACCAAAAGATCACGGTTTGGTTAGGTTTAGTAAAAGATCATGTTTTAGATTAGGTCAAGGAAAAAATCATGGTTTGTGTAATAATGTGAAGGCAATGGGTGAGTTACAAGAAAGTCCAGGGCTTATCATGCGGACGCCGAAGTGTATGTTGTGTGTCAAACGCCGATGCCTTTTCAGGCTTTCTCAAAGTATCAGTATTTGACACCCTGGGATGAGACCAGGCTTTCCTTTCATTTCTCATATCTGAACATTACATGTTAATTGGGTTTTAAAATGATCAGATAATTGATGTAACTTTTAAGTTCTAAAAAAGAATTGCTAAGTAAGTAACTTTGTATTTTTTCCTCATATAACATATTATTATTAAACATGATACGTGTGTGATATGAAGTTGAATCCAGTACATGCAGTGAACTGTGTGCTGTATTGATGAGGAGCTCAGTGATCAGAGTCCATGTAGTTTCCAGGATCAGACTGAATGCAGTGCTGGAAGCTGCTGTTGACTGTGTGAATGTGTGTCTGTGCTGCTTGTTGCTGCTGTCAAACTTCAGATGAGGAGGTAGTGAAGCCCGTGGTGAGCGTGTACCCAGCAGCATCCAGAGAAAACCAGGAGGAGAAGAGATTCCTGCTGTGTGTGGCTGCGGACATGTTTCCACCTCTGGTTCAGTTTTCCTGGAAAAGACGAAAGGAGAATGGTCCTCTGGAGGAGCTGCCCCCTGCTAAGGAGGAGCAGCAGGAGCTCAAAGAGTCGGAATGCATTGCCGCCATTAGAGTGACCGATCAGAACGCTCTCTACACGTATGAACACGTCTGTTACGTCCAGCACGAGACGGGCAGAGAAGAGGCCCAACTACAACAAGGTAATGAAGACTTGATGACTGTGTTCAGCAGAGATTTAGCTTCAGAGGACTGACATTTCTTTCTGACTCCTTTTCTGTTTCAGAGGTTTCTGCAAAGACATCACCTCCACCATCACGTCCACCATCACGTCCACCATCACGTACACCATCATGTCCACCATCATGTCCACCATCACGTCCACCATCAGTGTCCTTCCAGTCTCAGTGCAGGGTGAAGCTGCTCTCTTTGATGTACACAGTGCTGATAGTGAAGAGTCTGGTGTACTGCTGTGGACTCTCTCTGCTGAGGATCCGCAGAAACAAGGGGCCGTCCACCTGCTGCACACATGCTGACTGACGTTTTCTGTTGGTTTTTGCTACCATCAAATCTCATCAATTCATCTAATATATCTCTTTGATTTGCAGTCAGAAAAGTTCAGACATATTGTGGTTAGTTGTAAAAGATATCTTTTATGCACAGGTTAGAAACAGAAACATCCTAAAAATATAAACACATATACATTGTTGGGATCACAGGGACCTCACAGATAAAGGTTGTTAATTGGTGAAAATAAGTGAACCATTATCATGTGAGCCATTGAACTCAATTAGCTATCGGCCAACTCTGAGAAGTGTCACCGTCCAGACCCTCTCACCTGTATTATGGCACAACAAAAGACTGAAACTGAACAATTAGTTTAGTTTAGTCTTGAGTGTTTTGATTTGTTTATCTTGTTAAATAAATGCTTTGGTTATATATATAGCAGTTTCTTTTAATATAGAGTGAATATATTGCCAACCTCCTCCACATAGGAATCCAGATCCTTCAACCCACTATCTATTAATGGTTAGTGTATTTCATGAGACTGAAATAAGTAATTGTATGTATCTCTTGTTTAGGAGTGGTGCCCCAAGGAGAATAGCCTTAAGTTATATTTTAATAATTTATTAACTATAAACGTCATTTATATATATATATATATATATGCAATTACTGACTGTTATTTTTGTAGTATACAGTTATTTTGATGCTCTTATTTCCACTTTTAATCATGACTTTTATAATGCTGAATCATTAGCCGTCTGCTAAATATGCTATTGTATACGATATTTTTCTGTCTCTTTTTAATACATTTTGCAGAGTGTGTCAGGTTTGTCAAATTCTTTCAGTCTAACTTTCTCAATAAACTGAAAAATCACAGCGTCTGTGTTTTATAAACATTCTTATTTTTTATGGATTTCAGTTTGGCTTCACAGCAAATAATTAGACCAAGGATAACAAAGCTAAACAAAGATGAGTAAACAAATAACTGTCAGCAGGTGTGGGTGTGCCATCAGGTTCACTGCTGTCCCCCTTTTATAATTGTGTCAGTGTGGATATAAAACTCTACGCTGATGACACTGTCGTTTACACACATGAACAATCAGTTGGGTTTAAGTCTGAATGTAGGCAACACGATGGCTGTGTGTTTATTTCTTTCAAAACGCAGCTTAACTTTTTATTTTGCCTGCTGTTGTGTTGAAGCGTTGTTTGGTTATTATTACAATGTGATCACTCTGCTGACTGACTGACTGTTACAATCTGTGCGGGGTAATAAAGTAGGATCAGAGAATACTGCAGCGGGTTCAACATATCTCCTTCTATTTCAGCTTCTGAGTTCAGGGTTTCAAGTTATTTTTCTCACAGATTAATAACACAGATCAAAGCTGAGACAGTGAGTACTCAGTGCTGAAATCAAACTGAACTTCCTGGAATGATTCTTTAACCAAAGTCGACCGTTGTAACTGTCATTGTGTTACTGATGTGAAAAAGTGCAGGTAGCGGTGAGGAGGCTGCAGAGCAGAAACCCACACAGCCCGTCTGCTGCAGGAAAGGAAGTGTTGATTGGCTGTCATCAGTTTTTTTATGAGTCCTAATAACCACTGAGGACAGATTCACATCTGCTGCTGTACACACTCATCAACTCCTCTCCCTCTTTGAAGCTGTTTGTTTTTTCTCTTGTTGTCTGGAAGTCTTTTTTAAACTGAGCCCTCCACCCACACAGAGTTGAACTGAGCCCACAGACCAACAATGACGACCATAATCGATACAGATTCAGAATTCCTGTTTGTTACATTGCACAATACATGATTGCAGAACAAGCACAGACAGTAAACTAAAAGAAATGTGACTAAAGACTGAAATATACTCTAATGTTAAACTTGTATTGAAAACAAAATTCATTCACTCACCACCAGCTCTAAATTTATTGAACAACTTAATCTGTTTTTATTAACTATTTTTAAGTCTAGTTTATATGTTTTTATGTTTAAAGGAACAAACTGACATTTTGCAGAAAATGTTCAGTATAAATGAAGAAGAATGCAATTTTAGAAATGACAGGGCCTTAAATATTTTGTGATGTTAATGATATTCTAAAATGTCTCAAGAAAACAACAATATAATTGATAAAAATATATTTAATCAAAAATAAAAATGTGAGTCATTTTTAATCAAGTGATATAAAGTTTGTCTTTGAAAAGAAAAGTTAAAGTTAAAGTTAAATGTTTTAGTTTATTAAAACTGGCATTAGTTCAAAGATTAACAGTCATAAAATAAATGACTGTAAAAAATAAAACGACTGTAAAAATAAAATACCTGTTGTTATTTAAAAAACTGAACTTTATGTAAAAAATAGCAAAAAACTGTCAATAAAATAAGAGCAAAAACCAAACTGCAACATTTGGATAAAAAAATCTGTAACTTAAGCTGAAGACATGAAGAAAATCAAATATTCAGCAAAATATTAGAGTAAAATTTTTAGTATCATGTACAAAATAAGCATTACATTAGAAAACAACTGAACGTTGTTGTGGGAGATGTTATCAACAAGAAATGGATTGAAAGGATTGAAGATTCAAGGATGATGATGATGTTAGTGTTATGGTCTTATTTTTTTGATTTTGTTTCAACAAAATGACTGATTGTTTCCGCTAACAAGTCCAGTGTGTGTAACAAGTATTGTTTACACCAGTCAAAACAAAACTACACTGAACCAGGTTCTTCATAACGAAGGAACGTGTCACCTAAATGCAAAACATCTTTTTTAAATGTTATTGGTCAACAATAGACAGTTATGTGAAGTTCAGGCTTTGGCCATGCAGACAGGACTTGTTAGTCAGATTGATTCATTGTTTGTTTTTGAAGAGGTAGATAAGATTCTTTACTTCAGAGACCGGCTCTGGACTTTATCTTCAGGCTTTAGCAGCCATGAGAAGTTAAATCTGTTGGGATATAGTCAGTCAGTCTTTTGTGTGATGACGGTGGACGGCCCCGTTTCTGAGGATCTGAGAGAGAGTCCACAGCAGTGCACCAGACTCTTCACTATCAGCACTACAGCAGACAGAGCAGCCACTCTCTGTGCCAGGACTGGACGGGTGCAGCTGGTGGAGGTGAGACCACACACAGCGGGGAGCTCTTCCCCTCCAGGTGGGCTCTGGATGCTGCTGGGTACACGCTCACCACGGGCTTCACTACCTGCCCATCTAAAGGTTGACAACAGCAACAAGCAGCACAGACACACATTCACACAGTCATCAGCAGAAACACTAAAAACATTAGTCTTGTAAAATAACAGTATGTTTACCAGAATATATTTTAATATAGACATTAAATATACAGAATGTTTCTACTATTTTGTCTACCCCATGTATTTCAATAAATGTAGATACAATATTAATAAAACACAATATATATATATATGACTTTCCCATGTTTTTGATCACAAACAATTCACTTTGTAATTGAAATATTTTCCTGTTGCCTTTATATTTTCCACCATATATCATATACAGATAATCTAAAATGTATATCTGGAAATTTAAAAAGTTATGTAATGTTTCCTGATATATATGATATATCATAATTAGTGGTAAAAATGATTTGTATATGATTCCATGATTGTAAAAATATTTTGTAAAATAATGAAATAAGTAAAACCCTCATACAATGTTTTTCACAATATAAAATATATTTAGAACACTAAATACAGTTTGAATCATACAAACTAACAATATTTATCAACACAACAATATTATCTATTTATCACCATATAATATTTACAATATATTTACTATAAATCAAACATGTTAAAATCATATACCACACAAATAAACAACAAGTAAGAAACAAATAACACAGATTCACTGATATTACGAAATACTTGAAATTTGTAACATTAATTCTGCGTTTGAATTTGAAAATTTAGATCATCTCTGGAGAATCGTGCTCGTCTCTTAAATTCACTTTGATTTACTGGAGATTTAAAAAGTCAACTGATTAACAGAAAAATCCTCCACAATCATTCATCCAGAATTTCCTCAATGTAAGGTTTGATTAAACAGCAGCTGATGAGAACACAGGGCAGAGTTACAACATCGACCCTGAGTTTATCTCATTACTTTAAGGTTTTAGGATGACCAAGAAAATGATCGACACCAAAACTTAATGACCTCTACAATAAAACAACAGAAGGAAAATTTATGTTTAATCTTACATAGAGTTCAGTTCCAGAGCCAAAGATGAGGTGTCTGTTGGATCCTACCACAAAGAAACACACAGAGAAAAACCTGTCTGCTGCTGAATGAGTCAGCTGAGACCAAATTATGAACCAGGAAGCTCGATGATGTGTTTCTTTAATGTTCACATGCAGTCTACACTGTTTAAAGATATTATAGAGATGATTCAAATCAGCTTTATGGGCATGAATGTATCAACAGTATTGCCAAAGCTATATATAAATTAGATAAGGACAATTAATTTCATACATTTCATTAAATAAGGAACTAAAACAGTAAAGGATGATCACATCATCCTTCAACGGACAGTCAGGACTGCAGAAAAGATCATCACTGCCAACCTGCCTTCCATTCAGGACTTATACATTTCCAGAGTCAGGAAACAGGCAGGAAACATCACTGCAGATCCATCTCACCCCGGACACAACCTGTTCCAGCTTCTCCCCTCTGGTAGGCGCTACAGAGCACTGTACACCAAAACCAACAGACACAGAAGCAGTTTCTTCCCACAAGCCATCTCTGTGATGAACAGCTGATTTCTGACTCACAGTGTCAGGAACAATTCCTGTGCAATAACCCAGTAACTCTGTCTCTAATCAGCCACCTGTATACTGGTTACTGGATTATTTATTCATCATTCTCTATTGCACACTGATCAAACTGTTATATTGTCATATTGTATATACTGTTTACCAAACCCACCTACCTCAAGTACATAACACCTGCACATAATACTCATAATACTCATACTCAATATTCATTCCAGTATCCTTTGCTGTATGCTGCATCGCACTGTGTACATGTGTACATGTATGTGTACCTGTATATCACATCCACCTCTGACATCTAAGTCGCTTTGGATAAAAGCGTCTGCCAAATGAGTTAATGTAATGTAATGTAATGCAATTAAATCGAAAAAATAAGTGTATTGTATTATCATGATTTGTCACGCTTTGCTGTGTCTTCAGGCAGGAACAGGTTTTTGGACCCAAACGCAGGACACAGAGGCAGAACAGGTACAGTTTCTGAGTACTTATTAAAGGCAACAAAACTTATGGCAGCGTCCAAAATTCAACAAAGGTAGTCCGCAAACAAGAGTAATCCAAAACGAGCAA